AGGTTGAGAGACTTCCGCTGCATTTTGTGTAGCCAGATTCCCTAATCCAGACCCTGCATTCTCAGTAGCACGCCCATGATTGGACCAGTTGGTTGCTGCAACACTGTTCCATGTCCAGATGCTTGTTTTTTCTCATTTGGGGGGTTATAAAAGTGCTGAGAATGTCCTGAGAACTCCAGGGTTTCCTCTGAGCTCCCAGTGATGCTTGTCAAATGGTGCGGGACATTTTGTAATTCCCGAGACCTCCCCACGCATGTTTCTATCCTGGCTACGCCGGTGCTGAATTCCAGACTTCAACAACTGGCACCCTTTACCCAAGGTGTGGTGTGGGTCCTTTGTTTTTCTGTTATTTCCTCATGATTAATTCACAGAGTTAAAACAGTAGAATTCTCTTCTCACAGCTGCTTTGACTCTTGGATTCCTGGGAAACCAGTCTGAGGGGAGAAGCTGCACACCCAATGGGATTGGTCACCTCCATGCTCGGTTTCCAGTGCTGGGCTTGTGACCGGAATCGGTGCTCAGTTGCCTAGAGAGTAGTGGGCAGGCACAGCGCCCCCGTGAGGACTAAATGAGGGGACATTACTCTCCCTGCATCTGTGTTCTTTCCCCGGGCGTGGAGATTTCTGCCCATTAGTTTGCCCACCAGCCATTTTTTCTCCTTCTCCACCCCTCCTATTTATGCATTAAAGTTTTAAAATTCCAAAATACAGATACCATTTACCATGGTAACCATTTTTAAGCCCTCCATTTGGTAGTGTCGAGTGTATTCGCATGGCTTTGCAGCCCATCTCTAGAACTCTTCATCTGGTAAAACTGAAACTGCAGCCATTAAAGAACCACTTCCCAGTCCCCTCTGCCCCTGCCCCTTCTGTCTCTATGACTCTGACCACTCCAGGGACCTCATAGGAATGGAACAGATAGTGTTTGTCTCTTTGCTTTTCTTTCCTTTCAGAATGTGCCTTTAAGGTTCATCCGTGCTGAGCCCCCCAGTTCTTTTCAGGTGTATCATTTCATGCTTGGCAGCTGGGTTTTTTCTCCCAAAAAAGCACTTTCTCAGTTTGCTTCCTGTTAGGCCCACAGAAAGTCCACACTGCTGAATGCAAGTGTGGATCTTACTAGAACTTCCCAGGGTCTGAGTTTACGAATCCAGCTGCTCTCACAGTGATTAGAGCTCATGGGTGTGAGCAGACACGTGACGGATCATATCATGACGCCGAGAGCCACCTCAGAGCTGTGTGTCTGCCGGCCTGCGGTGTCCTCTTGGGAGCTGGAAATAATGCCGGTGAGACTGCGAGGCCGGAGGGTGGTTGAGGGCTGCGAGTGTCTGGCGGACGCTGGGTGTGCTGTTCAGCAATATCGCTGCTCATCTCTCGGGATTGACTGGTTCAGCGCGGAACTCAGCGATCAGTTGGCTGGGTGTTCTCAGATGCCTGCTCAGAGACCGCCTTTCTGAAAGACGAGGCCCTCTTAACCTGTTGGTGGTGCCAGCGTTGCATTGTTTCCACCAATAGGAACTCACACGGCCTTCACATATGGTTAGGCTGATTGTTTTTTCTATCCTGGGCCTTTGGTGTGGAGAGATTCCTAACAAAATACCATCCACAGCCTTCTTCCAGGGGGAAGGACGGCTCCGAGTTTTAGCGCTGGGGGACCAGAAGAAGCAAGCTGGAAGATGAGAAATGCTATCAGCGCTGTTGCTGTGTGTCTCTGAGGTACCTTGGGCCGGCTCCAGAGCCTGGTTTGGTCACGGACTAAGCGGCCATGTGATCACCTTAAGTCCCCTCATCCCTAGAATTGGAAGGTGATTTCTGCCCTTTCCACCCCATGGAGTCCAAGGATCTCTTTTGGAAACATGTCAGTTACTGTGCCAGGAAGGCAGGAAGTAATCTGAGGACCGTTGTACGGTGATTAAAACCCACTCAGTTAAGGTGAAGGGGACCTTAGTGACTATTCCCAAGGCACTGCATCTGTGTAACTGGGTCTGAGGACCACCCCATTTTCCCTGTGCACCCCACTCCCACCCTCCTTCCTCTGGACTTGCCACTTGCAGAGGTGGTTTGCAGCCTCACCTACAAACACTTTGACCACTCATTGCTTCTCTGAAATAACTGTAGTTAATATACATTTTAAAGTAATTTCACATGTGTGTATTTTTAAGTAACTTTAAGCCGAGAAGCCCATCAGCCAGGGATGTCTGCAGCTGGTGTGGGGTGGGGATCCAGTTTGCTGCCTTCTCAGCCCCAGCCACTAGAGCCATTGGCGTTTCTAGTCTCTTCAGTTAGAATCAGAGGAGGCAGGAGCTAGAGAAGTACACCGGTTCCATCTTGGAGGTCATATAAGATGGGATTTAAATGTTTTTTCTCCTCTGAGTCTTTTGTATGGTTCTCAGTAGAGGCTTTCTAAATCTTGAAATCTTCAACACTTAGACAGTATTTATTGAGGGACCATCCAAAAGAAGTGTATAGAACTTGGGGTAGAGGACCTCAAAAACTTTGCAGTTAACATAGGAGGAACTGGCTTCCTCTGAGCTGGGCAGAGACCCCTCGTGAGTTCATTAGTGATGACGGGGTGGGGGGCAGAGAAGGCAGCGTACCAGTCAAATCTCTCTCCACCCCAGAGTCCAGATTAGAGGAAGAGCAGAGGAATGGCGATGGAATAGTGATCCGTGACTTAAGTATGTTAAAAGGATATTGCGGAAATCTGTCCATAGATTTCTATCTTAGAGAATTTTCCTTATCTAAACCACTGGATTTATCTGACCTCAGTTCCCCGCATTTGCTCCATCCCCTGGCGTCTGCTTGGTTTTCAGCCAAATCAAGGTCAGGATAAAGAGGAGATTTGGAGGGCAGTAAGCTGGATATTCAGGCTCCTGCAGTAATACTCAATTATTGAATTCGGTAGAAGCACCAACTCCTTTATAATGAACTCCTCAGTTTTTGAATATCTATATGAATCAGGTGATTCAACATTGGCAACAGCCAGCCTGCTGTTTCCTGCTTTGTTATAAAACATAAGATGGTAAAACCCTGGGAGCTTTCTGGGCTTGTTAAAAGCTCATAGTAAGCATTTTAATGCACATTATTCTTCATGCAACTTGGAGCCTTAAAGACCTTCAAATGGAAGCAGATGAAGGGAAGTCAGCTGGCTGCCCTTGTCCCGCAGCCCTGGGCCACTGGCCAGATCTGTTGTCCTGTCCAACTGCTGGTCACTGAGAAGCCACACCTGTCAGCGCTGAAAATTGGGGCAGCGCGGAAAAACCATGACTGAGAGGCACTGTTCTCATTAACTTTGAATGTAGTGGACCCAAAACAAAATAAAAAGGTTTACTACCATTTAGGTTCATAATATAGGCAGAGATAGGGCTGGGGATTTAGCTCAGCAGTTCGGTGGCCTGCCTTGCAAGCGCAAGGACCCAAGTTCAATCCCCGGTACAAAAAAAAAAAGCATAAAATAGGCAGAGAAATATCGCAGGTTCAGATCCCTGACCGCGGCAGTAAAGCAAATATTGCACTAATGTAAATCACACAAATTTTTTGGCTTCCCAGTGTGTATACAGGTTACACTCAGACCATAAAAGCACAGTAGCATTATGTGTTAGAAAACAATGTACAGTCTTCATTTTAAAATAATATATTGCTAAAAAATGTTAAGGATCACCTGGGCTGTTGGGAAAAATGGTGCTGTTACACGTGCTCGATCCAGGGTTGCCAAAACCTTTCATTTGCTTAAAACAAACAAACAAACAAACACCACACCACCCCTTGCAGTGTCTGAAGCACAGTCAGATGAAATACAACTGTATGTTTTTACCCCCTAGCACATTGGACACTTTTTCTTAACATTTAATAGTATTTTTATTCTATAACTCCTTTATTCTTCCTTCCTTACTTCTCCTTACTCATGCACTGTCTGTATCCTTGTGATACTGTTTGTACCTCTGGTAATATTTTGGCAGACAGCCTGTTACCTGCATTTTCCTTCCTTGTTAATAACACAGCTGTCCTACATAACCAGAGATCTTCGTTAACTAGTGGAGCTTTCAATGCGTCGGGTGTGTGTGTGCGCACGCGCGTGTGTGTGCATGGGTGTGCCAGACTTACACATGTATTCCTCAGACCAAATTTTTATTTTTTAAATGTCATTTGCCATGTATTGTTTTGGTGGAAATAATTTATACTGCCTCTTGGGCTGGATGTTGTAACATTTTGAGCTAATGTGTTATAGCATCTAAAACAAATCCTTGATTTAGAATAACCCACTTTCTACCGTAAAGCCATTTTACTAAGACTGGTTTGGTTATAAAGTTTTCCACTGGATGCCTCAAAATGGTGAAAGTGCTCTTCTATACATGCTGCACGTGTCTTTGTGATAAATTGATTTTTCTTATTTTCTTGCCTCTCCTATTACCAGGCTGTGGGTGGTAACCTCTCTCTCTGCAAAGTGTTTTATGGGGTACGGAGTGCAACATTTTAAGCCAAGAAATTGAAAATAGGATGCAAACAACAGCCTTCGGAGTGGGAGGAGTCGATCAAGGTCATATCTGTATAGAAAGAATTTGATGGTAGAGATGCCAAGAAAGGCAAGTTCGCAATTGTAACAGGCATGTGGTACTGGGAAATACAAGAGAACCCACTTGATCTGAGAAGACCTGGCTACATATATTAATGAAATTGTGAACAGCTTAGCAAAAATTCTGAGAGTTCCCAGCTATGCCATTGAACCATGTGATTTTGCCATTTGTTTACCTGCAGGGAATGTAGTGCCTAGATCTGGCCAGGGCCAAGATGCTGACCAGAACATTCACCTGGATAGTTCTGCGTGAAATTGGAAGCCTGTGTATAATAGATAAATGCCATGGTTTATAAAGTTAACATTTTCAGATGGTGTCAATAATGCGTAACTGGGAAAATGTTTTCAGGCCATTTTGAGAGATGTTTGGAGAAGGAATGCAGCTGAGTCAGTGTCTTGCAAGTCTTATGAGTGTCTCTCTCCTCTTTCAGCACATCAGGTCCACCCATCTGGCCGGGCAGTACCTTCTTCAAGAGAAATGGAGCCCTTCTGCAAGGTAGGTGTCTAGGAGCACCTCCTCCTCTCCCTCCACTCCCTTCCCCACACTTGTTCTTGGTGCCAAGCAGAGAATAACTGCTCTCTGGAGAAGTGTGACTGTTGTGGGTTGGTCTGGATGGCTACTTCTTTTTATTTCTTCCTACTTGGTTGCTGTGAACTGTTGGGTCTAAACCAGATCTCCAAGGATTGCTTCTTTGGCCCAGTGTCAGTGGTCACGTTCCAAAAGTGTTTGGGTTGCTTTGGTGGAATTGGAATTATGTGACAGTAGTGTACAATGGGCTGATAAAAGCAAACCCTTTTACATATTTTCAGTGCTTGGGCTGACCAGAAATGGTTCTATACTGGCTTCGGATATCCATGTGTTCTTGGAAGGTTGCTCTGGTATAGTGTGCTAGAGAAATTCAAACTGGCTTTAATCTCTGCTTTTGCACTTAGCTTTTTTGTGTGTGTATGAGTTGGGGTTTTGCTGTGTCGCCCAGGCTGACCTTGAATTCCTGTGCTCAAATAGGCATTGTGGCTCAGCCTTCAAAGTAGCTGGGATTATAGGCACGTGCCACCCATGCCCCACCGCTACAACTTTGAAATGGACATGGTTAAGGAGGAATAAAAGCTTAAAGATAGAACAAAGATGCATTCTAAAAACTTTCACAAATTACTTTTTGGTGATGGCTGTTTAAGATATGCACTCTGTGGATAAGCTGGCCTACAGGGTTGTCCAATTTTCTGTCCCCCTTTGCTTCTGTTGATTGGCCAGGAGTCAAGGTAGCACAGCTGCCAAAAGCAGATGGATTTGTTTGTACCAAGCACTTTCCAACTGCACTGGCTTATGATGAGGGACTTTGGTGCCTTTTCATTGGTGTACAGCTGTTTAGCCTCTGACTTTTAAAAAGTACACGCTGAGGCCAGTTATGTGTGCAAAGAAGTGGAATACTACAGTGGCTAAGAAAAGAGATATTTATCTTCAGGTTTCTGGAGTACCTCAGTCAATTATGAGAGTTGTTTTTCTTGTTGTTTTACAGTGCATGCAGTTGCATATTGTCTTTTTAATAATCCATGAAATCAGGAACTAAAGAATTTGGTTGCATTTAGGTGATATGTAGGCAGGCAAATTTGGTTAGTCCTCATTGTACTAGCCATCATAGATATCCTAAATTTCTAATAAAAGGAATTCCCTCCACTCTCAAAAATTAATACATAATTTTAAAATATCTATTCTGCTCTCCAGATTGTGTAAGTGGAAACCAATTATGATTATCCCTTGAATTTTTCTGAAGTGAATTTCAAAGTTATTTGCAACTTCGTTTTTCCTCTAACTATAGCAGTGATACAAATACCATTAATATTTGGATTATTTTGTGTAAAGGGATTTTATTTTCTTAGAGCTTTTCCTTATAGAATTTTTATTCATTTGGCTCTACACTGGGTAAAATCTGCTCAATGCATATTAGTTTTTTTTGTTTCTGGAGTATAAAAACATAAGAGAAACATTGCTAAAGTTTCTGAAGTTGAGTGATTGTAGGCTGAGATTGTATGCAATTGTTGTAGACTTTTTTTCCTCTTACTGATTTAAAATTTTCTCAATCTCCTTATTCAGTGAGAATTAAACTAGTACACATTTCAGATGCTCATTGGATTTATGTCCATTTAAGTACAGTATTGTTTTTGGTACATTTGAGGATCAAAATCTTGGTGAGAGTTTGAGAATATGATTAAAATGTTTAATCATTTTACTGGATCTGTCTAGAGTTCTTCAGACACTTTCATTATGGTAAGACTTTTCAAACTGTGTGTCTTCCTAATTAGTATTGTTGTGCTTCTTTGGTGGTTGCTACTGGGACATCCAGAAGTTGTCAATTCCCCTGAGCAAAAGTTGTGCAAATAAAGATGTCGGTGTACAAAGGGTACTGTCCTATCACACCAGTAGGTGGTTTAGATTATAATCAAATAGAAGGACATATACTTGCCGTACGCTCATTTTTCTCCTCTATACTAAATATCCTTTTATTTTTTGTCCCTCCAGCAAGTAGGAGGAATTTGTTTTAGATAATCAGACCCCATTTGTTAAAGGCATACAGTCAGAAAGATTGAGGTTGAGGCCTAGATAGGACTGGAGTGCCAGAGAAAGAGTCTACTGTGTGCAATTGCCCCAGGGCCCCGAGAGCATAAATATGTGGGCTAGAAAGATAGGCAGATGCGCCATGTTGTACAGAAGAAAGAGCCTTGTTTTTGTCAGGATGGTGGGGGAAGGGGGGCTGTTACTTCTTGGGGAATTGACACTTGAACCAGGCCTTGGAAAACAGATGTGCGTGTCTGGGGTGGGGGAAATGACATCACAGCACAGTGATGGGGACCCAGTGGTGGATGTGTGGAATGTGTGCCCCACGTTATGCTTCAGAACACTGTGCGTGCTCCTTGACTTAGGATGCAGCTACATCCTGATAAACCCATTACAAACTATGTAAAATATCACAGTCTGAAAGTGTGTTTAACATACCTGACCTGCTGTACATGTATCTTAGCAACGCAGCACACTGTAGTGTTGAGGGTTTCCCCTTGTGATCCTGTGGCCAAGTGGGAGCTGTGGCTTTACAGGAGGACTGTACCTCCCATCACTAGTCTAGGAAAAGATCAAAAGTTGAAGGACAGTTTGTTCAGAACACGTAGGACTTTTGTACCATTATCAAGTTGAAAAATTATAAGTCAGGCACTACCTGTAATGTGATATCCTAGGGCAATGGTGGTGAACCTATGGCACACGTGCCGCAGCGGTGCTGTGTGGTGCTGTTTGTATCATTGAAACTTCTAAAAGGTTCGCCATCTCTGCCCTAGGGAGAAATAGTGGAAGTGAAAACCTGAAATGACGTTGAAACTAAAATGACAATACAACGGAAAACCACTTTATGTGGTCTAATAGTTGTTTGGTGTGTAAAGCATTGAGTAGAAACATACAACATTTATTTTTTTTTCCCAGTGCAAAACCAATTGTAAGAATTAACTGGAAGTACTTGAGTTCCTCCTTGGATGTCAAGTGTGGTGTCTGTATTTTGGTTCAGAATCAGAGGCCAGAGAGGCAGTGGAATCACCTCTCAGTTTTGAGGATAATGGGGTAAGATTTGGTTTGGATTACAGCAGGCAGGGGTACTTAACATAATTGGTCATTTCATCAATTCATAGTATTTATTTTAAATGCCATTTAGGCTGCACGAGACAATTTTAGTATTCTAGCAGTTTCAGCAGCACTGAGAGCACTTCAGTTCTTATACAATAGAAACCAAGCCAAGCCTCGAGAGGGGACAAGCCTATTGTTTAAGGGAGGGTGGGGGCAGGTCCAAACAGAAATGTGGCTTATTCAGAGCCTTGCAGGAATGGCCAGCTGACAGATGTCCCCGGTGATCTCTTCTTTATGCATCTGTCTGTCTCTGTGTTGGAAATACTTTAAAAAAATTTTTTTATTAGTTTAATAATGTCTCTTTTTAATGAAAAGAGTAGTTTTTTCCATCTTCCCTTTTTTTTAAACTCCCTATCCTTTCCCCCCACGTTCTGCTCACTTTAGCAGAGTTAAAATTATGGTTCTTTATTTAAACATCACCTCCACATGGCATTCTTTTAATGAACCTATCAGTTGTAATTAAAAATATTCCTCACCTCTGATCTGGTCTCTCTTCTGGTCCCTGATGGTTTCATTCCAGAATGACTGTGGCATCTCTGTTCTTATCAGCTTGAGGCTGGTTACTAAGAGTGACTAAGCTGCTGCTGTTCTTATCTGCCACTTCTCCAAGAACTTCCAGACCCTATAAGATTTGGAGATCCCCAGAGTTTTCTTCTGGGGGTGGGGGATCAAACTTGGGACCTTGTGCTTGGGAGGCAGGCAGCAGAACCACTGAGTTAAATCCCTGGTCCTCTCCCCAGAGTTCTGTTGAGAGAGAAGTTACTACTGCCTTTGTAATTGTACCCCAGCTGACCATTTGGGCTCACTTTGGTCTACTCTTTCTGTGAGTGTGCATTCTCTGGGCCCACTCACAACATGCCACCAGCAAACACTTCTTTCTTCTACACCTGTGTGCATCAGAGATGGCTAGGATGGAGGTCCCTGGCCCAGGGCCTGTCATCTCAAACGCTTAGCCCATTCTGTGGACAGACCAGAGGTCCCAGCCATTCTTGTGAGCCTTCTCTAAGAAACCAGCTGCTATCAGCAGTGATGAGAATATTGGTTTTACAAACCAATCACTAACTGAACGCACCACCTCCCATCTGCTCTTGCCTCCACTTTCCTTTTCTCCATCATTCTAGTGTAGGGCTGTAGTTATTATCAAATCTGTTTCCCTCAGATATAGTAGTAGAATTAAAATAAACTCTATCACATGCATAACAGATTTTTATTTCCATTCAGCGCTGACAACCCACCAGATAAGCTAATGAAATGGAAAGAATTCCTTAAAGGCATGTTCAGTGCACAGGGTGGGATTTTGCTGCCACAAGCCCAGAAGCAGGGGGAAAGGAGACCAGCTCTATTCCTGTCAGCTGCATGTTGTGGCTACATGTGTGCAAATGCACATGCCTCTGGTAAAATGTGCATGCAGCCAGCTGTGTTATTAATGACTTGCTTTGGGGAATCCCATTTTCCCCCATATTCTATGTTGACTTCTTATGTGGACTTTCCTGGTAGTAATGTCGTGTGGTACTTTCCAAACCTCTTTGTACTCTCCACGACCTTCAGCTGCTTCCATGACTCTGCTGTACTGTGTATTGTTACTATTATTCACGTTGGTTGTATTTCATTCCCTGAAAGATTCAAGAGCAAGTACTCAGTGTATCAGAAACAAGTTGTAGCGGAAAGAACATTGGATTGTGAGTCAGAGGCACCTGGGTGCCAGTTCCAGCCCTGCCACTTAGTAAGTAAACTTGGTAATCTTGGATGAGCCACATGGCTTATCCCTGTGGCTTCATTAAAAATAGGTTAAAATAGATTTTGAGGCATAATGCTACCACATGTGGGGG